GACGCATGTCTCAAACGGGATAAAGCAATCAAATTCTCATTTGTAAAATCATTATCTCTTTCGTTGTCTTGAACTACCGAGCAAATTCTGTGTGTAACAGTGAGATTATGATGAGGAGCAACTGTCACTAGAACAGCTACAATATCATCATGCACTATTTCCACTGTGTCCCAAAACTCATTCACATTACGATCCCCTCCATAGAATCTTCGTGTTTACTCTCGGGGACATTCTTCTTCATCAAAGTTATGCAAATAGGAATCACACGTTTCTGGTTCATTTCAATTAAAACCTTCATTTCAGTTTCAAAAGTAACCATTATACGTAGAATTAAAATGGATGTATTATCGCCCATGGCGTACTCAAAGGGATCGACTTTCAGCAAGTTCTGTATCTCATTGTACATTTCTGTATATGATGTACTTGATGTTATTACAATTGCAGTACAGCCATCTCTTTCACTCGTCCATATCTACACCCATCGATCATTGTCATTATTTTCAAATTCACCAAAGTAACAAATCTGGACAGCAGCTGATCCCATATCTGCATTAGGAAACATCATTTATTAAAAAATTTTGTAATTACGAGAATAAAATGACAAAAAAAATATGACACAAGGAAAAAAAATATGACACGTTTTTGGCCGACTGTCTTCTACATTTTGTATCTGAACAGATGAATTTTTTTCCTCGTTTTTGCTAAAAAAAATTATACATCCATTTAAAACTGTAATAATTCATTTTTCTAAAATCATATGTTGAAATAAAATTTAAATATTCAAACAATGTACTAATTTAACTAAAATGAAATTAAATATACGTATTTATACTTACCAATTTCAAGTGCCGACTGTGAGTAATATTTTTTTGTTGTGTCTTTGATAATTTTTTGAGATTTCAATGTTCAAACAGATGGAAGAGGAAATTTCTTTTTAACTGTGTTGGAAAATCTGATAAATAAAGTGATTTCGTTTTGAGATTTAAGTGGGATTGTTTGGATTTATTAATTTTTTAAAGAGAGTATTATTGTGTCTTTTGGGCAAATGATATGTTTTTGTAATTATAACACATAATAAGGGAAAAACTGACATTTACTCTTCAAAAGGCTATTTTGGTGAATGGCAAAAAAAAATTTGGTCAATGTCAAAATTTAGCATTTTGACTTGGCCATTCTAAAAAGTACCCCCTTCTCAACCGGCTGTTGCAGGCTATTTTTAGTGGCAAGTGGTATTTTTCTAGCCTATTATAGAATAATTTCCACTACAACATATTGCACAAAGTGCTGGCATCATTTTATTGGACAAATATTAGTGTAAACTTGGGCCTAGAAATTTATTTCATTGGGCCAAAACTATTCTTTTTCCTCCAACGGTTAGTCATCTTAAATGGGCCTAGGATTCTTTTTCATGGTATAATTAATTGCTAGTAGTGATACCCACTTTGACATATATGAAGTTTGATTGGGCTGCTGCTTCCAAAGGGATAATTGATAGATTTACGTGCCTCGGATAATAATTCATTGTTATGATTTTGGGAATGAATTTAATCTGGCTTTTAAACACCCACAGCTTCAGTATCATTAGCTTGAGTTTAATGATGTTATCAATTGTGAAAAATAAATTGGCTGTAGCTTTATATCGAGGATCAGCTTGTGAATTCTTTATTTATCGGATGCGAGCCCTAGCTCATGGGTATCTTATTGTCAAAAGCAGCATTTTTGGAGTCTTTATTCCTTGAATAAAGGAAGAGGCGCACCCTTTTGAAATCCTCGTTCCTTGAAAAAGGAAGGGAATAATTGTCAAATGTGTTCGCTCTTCCAAAATGAGCCTTTCCTAACCCTATTCACCGGATGCTTATTCCTAGCATGTGAGTTGTTTATTTCTCATCTCTCACTATCGTTGAGCTTGGCTCTAAGTCCACCTTATTTCGAGGCAAGCTACTAAGACTTCGATAGTTCGACAGTTATATGCGGGATGTCTATTCCCCGCTTTGCCATGCTTATCCCTGGCTCAGCGAGACTATTCCTCGCCTTACTATCGTTGAGCTTAGCTCTAAGTCCTCGTCATTCTGAGGCAAGCCACTAAGACTCCGATAGTTTGACAGTTATATGCGGGACGTCTATTCTCCACTTCACCAATGCTTATTGTAACATTCCGAAATTTTTTTAAGAAAATAAATAAATTATTATATTATTTTGAAAGTGAGGGATTAAGGTGAAATAAATATTAATATATTATATATTTGGGGTCAAATAATTGGATTTTGATAAAGTAATGATATGTATATCAATATTAGACTCATTTCGAAGGTCGTAATTAATTAGAAGTCTATGACTCGAGAAAAGTTATTTTGGATAAGAACGTATTAAGTTATACCCAATTGAAAGAAAACAAGATAAATATAATTTTATATAGTTTTAACCCATTTTGAATTTGATTGATTGGCTACCACATTTTTATTGGATAGGAATGGTAGTTCTTTTAGATGAAATAAAATAATGATAAAGTACAATTTTTTTATGATACGTGCCACATTGGATTTGATTTTATCAAATCAAAGTTTTGGTTTATCTACTACTCTAGCCTACACCTATAAATACTAGGCAAGGATTTCATATTTTACCACACCAAAAAATATGAACACGTGAAAGAGAGAGAAGAAAGAAAGAGAGAGAGAGAGAGAAAGAGGAAAGAGTGTGTGAAAACAGAAATTTGTCATACATCAACTATCACTGTCGATCAATAAATCATTCACAGAGTAGAGGAAGGAATTTTGGAACGTGCATTCAAAAATTTTTCGTGTACATTTCGATAATAGGTAAGATACATTTTATGTGCAAAGTGTTTACGTTTCCTTATGCTCTTATATGCGATTAAATATACATGGAATGCTAGTGGACCTTCGGGTTCTAGAGAAAGAGGTATGAAATTTCTACACGAAAATTAAGAGGACCTAAGATGGGTGTGTCGCTTGGTCACCGATATACTCCATAAGAGAAGAGCGGTATGAAGTGTATTATTTATTTGTTATATACCTGTGTATGGAAATTTGCACGTATCTTACTGGGTATTTTTAATACTCACTTTTACATTAATTTTTCAGATTAGTTCGGGTCGATTGGAACAGTGGAGAATTGGTGATGCGGACTGCCAAGTGGATAAAGAATAGAGAAAAAGAAATAAGTTTGCCATTTTAAATTTAGCAATTTGTTTATTTTAATTTAGAACGCATTATTTGAATTACTTAGGAGTTTATGTTTATGGTTAGATACGCTTTCAATAATTTTAATCTAAACGTTACAATTATTTGTTTATTGAAGAATTTTATATAGTTCCGCATTTTTTTTAATTAAAGAAAAACGAGTTTTCGTAACGTTCCCTTGTTTATGCTTAATGAAAAAATTGGGGCGTTACAGTATGGTATCAGAGCACGGTTTTACTTTCTTGTGGACTTTTTCAAAAAAAAAATCATATTTTAATAAATCTCTTTTTCCCACTTATTGTTTCGAGTTTCTTTGATTTGCGTATTCACAAGATTGAAAGACTTTGTCAAAAAGACCTAAACTGTCTAAGGTGAGCTTGGGATTTAAGCGGTCCGATTGTGACCCCCCTCCTTGCCTGGAAGTCTTTTTGGTTACGTGTTATTCAAATCATTAAGACGGAAAACAATAATTCTAAGAAAATTCTATTTTAAGATTTTGCAAAAAAAAAAAAAAAAAAACTGTTCTCGTGAACAGTACACTGTTCACGAGAACAGTATAGCAGTGTTTAAAAAAAAAATTTTTAGTAGCTGTTCATCCGTGAACAGTGATAATAAAGAAAATGGTATGTTGTTAACGTGAAGTGTTCAATACTTTTCATGCAAAAATAGTTTTTCTTTTTCCTACATCTGTTTAATGTTAATGGTTTGTGTAAAATTTATTCTAAATAATGAACTTACATAGTTATCTTCCAATTTTAGAAAATTCTTAAACAAATAAAATCAAAGTATTTATATGTTGTGATTGCAAATTTTTAAATACATAATGACATAAAGAATACTTGGCACATGACGCTCACCATTCGACTACTCTCCAATTGAACCCAGGTATGAAATGTAATGAGATGTTTTTAAACATTGCTGCATGTATAAGCATGTTCACATCGCATAATTTATTTGTCATTTTTTTTTACACATCTTGCTAGAGTATAGTTTATGCACTGAGAATAAAAAATAATAATAATAATAATATTGATAATGCAAAGTTAAGCATAATTAAAATTATGTTGTCATGTGATTAGGATGACTAGGAATAGCCCAACGTACCTCCAGCGTGCTGAAATGGCCATTGAGAACTACATAAATTATGAAGTGAGATGGGAGCGAACTTTTGTTGAACATGTTGAAGATTTCCTTTCTAAGTGGGAGCGAGCAAGGTCATTTGGATATAATGAGGGGACAATCCTTTTGATATATCACCTTATAAGCACTATGCGACCTCAATGGAGAGATGTGGCTTATTTCGTGAGGGACATGGATTATGATTTATATTTGGCAGAAGATTGGGATAAGATTGATTTTAAAGGATACTGTGAAGATATCATAATTTTATGGAACCATGGACAACAAGCACCAGCGCCCGAACCCGAACCAAAGCCGGAGCCAGAGCCAGAGCCGGAAGAAGACCCAGAGGAGGAGATCGAACCAGAGCCAGAAGACCCTGAACAGGAAGTCCAACCACAAAATTTCATTGATTTGGTTATGGATTCCGAGCCCGAGTCATGCATTACTTCGGATGATGAGACGGCATAAAAAGAAGATTCTAGATTAGGGATAAGTTTTATTTATTTGCTTAGGAAAAGTTGGATTATTTATTTATTTATTTGATTTTTTGAAGAGCAAATTTTTTTTTATTTAAGGAATTGGAAATTATATTAAATTCTTCGTTGTTACAAAAATATTAGAAGTGTTTTACCAATTTTTTTTTTCCTAAATTAAAATTTTATTTGTGTTAAGAAAATGTCGAGACAACAACAAAATCAAGGTACGATCATCAGAGATTTGCTAAGGGCGGTACAAGATTTGGGTAGGCAACAAGCACAGGGTGGTCCTTGTGGTACAAACGCTAACAACACCAGCTCAATCGTGGAACAGTTCCGTCGCTACAAACCCCCAACCTTCGATGGCAAGGCAGACCCACTAGCAGCTGAAGAATGGATAAGAGGAATGGAGCGAATCTTCAAACATCTATCTTGCACTGATACTCAAAAGGTGTTATGTGCAGAATTTATGTTGGTTGACGCGGCAGGCCATTGGTGGGAGTCAGCATCTCGCACTAGAACAGAAGCACAACAACGTGCTCTGACTTGGACGCAATTTGAGGAGGAAATGATGGGAAAATACTTCCCACAGGCCCTGAGGGATCGCAAGGAGACAGAATTCCTTCAACTCAGACAAGGAAAGACGAAACTTGAAGAATATGAAAGAAAATTCGAACAACTCTCAAGATATGCACCACACCTAGTGGATACTGAAGCAAAGAAAGCAAGGAGGTTCGAACTTGGATTGCGTCCTGAGATTGGTGGAATAATGGCATCCCACCAATTCACCACCTATAGGCACGTTTTGCAAACTGCCCAAACAATCTCAAATAGGTTGGAAATAGATCAAATTCCCCATCAAGGGGCCGAGTTATCAGGAAAGAGGAAGTGGAATGGGTCCAATGAAGGGAAGGGAGAGGGACATAACAAAAAGGTTAATTTTGGATCAAGTTTTGGACAAGCCATTTCACCATGTCCAAAGTGCAATAAAATGCATAGTGGTGAATGCTTGTTTGGGAAGCATGTGTGCTATCGATGCGGTAAAACAGGGAATATTTCCAAAAATTGCAAAGAAGACCCCTTGAAGAAGAATGATGAACAAGAAAAGAAGGGAAAGACCCGAGTTTTTGTTTTAGCCCAGGAACGGACAACAGAGGACCCGAACGCAGGTAATTTCGAGGACGAAATTATTTTAAGGGGGTGAGATTGTAACATCCCAAAA